CTCAGTGAACGATAACCTTAGATCACGCATAACAAGCCTTCTACCATAGTAGGATGCATAGTTCATGATAAACGACAAGCCCTTCCATATCGCCACCATTCATCCCAACTTCTGATATAAAGGAGGGGAAAGTTTCCGTCGTATCACGGGTTCGCTGCTTGGGTTGAGGGGAAGAGGCTCACACCTTACCCTAGTTTCACTCGACATCACTCGATTACCCTTTCACCCTTTCCAGAATTGCCCAAAAAACCAATTACACTGGGTGAGATTCGAGCGTGATGAGGGGAAGTTGGGCACTATCAGCACAGTGGGGGATAATTTTTCCCAGATAAAAAAAAACCCCCCGCAGGGCTTTCTTTCAGCTAACACGTGTCAATGAATACATGTGGATTTCAGCTGAAATACTTTTTGGACCACCGTGCCTGCCAGGATCTTGCTGGCTTGGGATTTTTGAGAGAACCCTGTTGGTAGCTGGCTGGGAACCATGGGTGTTCGGTAAGAGCTTGGCTAAAGCGCCCAGAGTTTAGTGGGTGAGCTGTCGGGAGGGTAGTTTGCGTGGGAAGGCATGTATCCGAGTGCGGACACGGTAAAGAGTTTTTGTTTATACAGGAACTGATTCACGTTGAATCTTGTGTATTCCGCCCCTTTGGAGAAATTGCAATCGCTGGATAGAATGGTCGAGATTACCATCGTGTGGCTAGTCCGCCAGAATTTCCGAAGTATCACACCGAAGAAAAGGTTAGCAGGATTTTCCTGACTAGCAGGTGGCTAAAAGAACGAGTGACAAAGTATGAACATCATGCACATGGAGCTGTTCGGGGTCAATCGTCTTCACGAACCGGGAAGACTTAAGAAATGTAAGGGCAGTAGCTGGGCACTTGAGCAGTGGGTATTTTGGCGGAGTGTGGTAATCTGAGCGCTGTTATTGCTAACTTATTTTGGTTCAATACAACGAAATACCGGTGTGGGTGCCTCAACTAGACAGCGGGGGTGTCGGAAGAATGGGATCCTTATTTGTTAGGGGGCTAAATTCTGGTGCTATATTGAGACGTAATTATACTGGATAGGAGGAGTATCCGGCAATCCTTCTGAAAGCGACATTGATACAACCAGAAGTAGCTACTCTGGGTGACGGAAAGGCATCCAAGAGTGAGTGACCATCTGGAGACCCACTCAGATTCGTAAACGACTGAAACACGAAGCCGTTGTCCTTGTTTAAAAACGCTGAAAAAGTGGGAAAGATATGATCTAGACGATCGATAGAGATGGTGGCTAAGGTCACGCCGGGTAATATATGCTTTCTCTGAACGGCTGACAGCTCTCGAAGCCAAAAAAAAGGCACCAATAGCTTTGGAGAACAAACTAAAAAATTAAAGAAATAACACGGGAGCGACCGGAACCCAGTCGGGATAATAGAGTATCATGACCGAATGATCCGCCATCCCCCTAGACAATCGACGGCCGCAGCGGAGCCCAAGCCTTGACCTCGATGCCATATGCTGAGCGGCATATGATATCTGAGGCCGAATGGCGCCCGATATGGAGGAAACAGAGCCAAAACCGACGCCTTATGCCTAGTGGATAAGATGTGAGAAGTAAAACGCCAAAAGACCATGCCCCATAGGCAGTTCTGGGCAAGTTAAATAAATTATTAACAAAGTTCGCCGCAAACGGGAAAGTGTAATTTCCAATTTGCCCAGGTATGATATCATAACTTACGAGGCTGGGTCTCAACATTATCCCTTATATCAGAGATCCAATGGAACCCGTTTCATCCATTCCAGTGCGCTGGTTCCAAGAAAAGGCAACTGACGTCAAGCAATTGTTATGGTCATAGTGGATACCAACAACACCGACTAAGATCCTGGCGGCAAAACCTGCGGTTTCAGTGGATGTGAGCTTCGGGACACAATTCGCTGGGGACAACCCGGGATGGAAAATACTGGACGAACGTACGGACGGTATTGGCTGCTAAATAATTGCCTGAACAGGGGTCCATCTCCTAACCAGTAATCGGACGCAGAGGGAAAAAGTAAAAATTCAGTAAAAAAGCCGATCGGTCCAAGTCCTTAAGCTTTAGCTATCGAGTGGAAACTAACTGTACTCGAAGGGGGAAAAACGCTAGCATTTTCTGGGTGAAGAGTTGTTTGGGTTTTCAAGTACTGTTTTTGTGTTTATAGGGTCAAGTTTGCCAGGCCAATGAAAATACTCTGCGGGGGTAGGTTGTAGTAATTTCCGATTGCTCGACACCACCTATGAGTGATTTAACGTACTAGGGATATGTAGTTGTCAGAGAGTGTGGCAAGGCGATGATGAGTGGCCAGGAGTAGTCCCATACCAAATCCGTAGGCTGCATGGTTGGGAACTCCCACTGTGTGGCTGGTGGCCTGAGTCACCCACTCTCACGCTCAGGATACCGTACCTGTATAATACCACCCCTACGGGGGGTATTTTTCTGCTAAGTACTACCATCCCAAGTACCACAAACGATGCCCTTCCGTTTAGGAAACGGGCAGCACTATCATCGTTCTTAATCTAATTCATAGGATAAAATTATGAAAATGGATGAACTGGCTATTTGGACAGTTCTCCCCCTTCATACTAGATCGATCAGGTGATTGGTCCGGAAGTGCATTCTTGACCTGGAAGAGTTGGGCTTGGGTTACAGGCGACTCCGGCCCTGTTTGGGCCCTGATGCCCGGAGGTCTCCACTGTCTTCTATTATTTATAGCTCAAACGTTTTTTATTACCTTGAGGGTTCGATTGGGCTAAGTCCTTTTTTTTTTTTACCGTCCCTCGTCCTACAAAACTATGCAGTGCAGAGACCAAAGAAAAACGAGTGCTGCATGACGTGCACAGTACTTCGTTAAGTGAGTGATATTCTGTGGCTCGGGCCTTTAGGAACGCAGTGCAGCCGGCAGGGCGCGGCACATCCCCGAGCTTGGGTATCACATAATCTTAAGTCTAGTATCAACTGAAATAACAATAATTGGTAATAGTAGGAATCTAGACCGCTGTGTCTTAGCGGCACATATCCGTGCTTGGTGTTGAGCTACCCTCTAGGGATGCTGCCACAGGGTTGCTGCTCGTTGGAACTCTCTGGGTATAGGGTATCCAGCAAATCCACTGGTCCTTGATTGCATCCTATGCTACCAGGAGTGGGGGTCACACTTAGGGTGCTACAGGCTTGCAGCAGCTGCGGTTTGTTCAACGGTGATCGTGTGGGGGGTCTGGGCAGGTTGTGAGTTTCTTTTGTTGGTTTTTTTCTTTTTTCTTCTTCTCCTTTTGCAGTTTCAACCCAGTCCCGCGGGTGTTTATGCTCGGTGATGTACCGGCACTTCGGGGGTAGGAAAAGGTAACTTATGGCTAAGCCTTGGCTGCCAAATACATGGGTATTCTGTTAGCCACATTCGCCATACTTTCACTTACTGGTACCCTCGAAGCACTGGTGCACTTCGTCCCGTTATAGCAGCCAAGTACCGGCAGGTGCCTTTATGACCAGGATACCGGCATCCAAAGTTACTTGTACTGACTAGCTTGGTAAGTAAACTGAAAATCATCCTAGTGGCCAGGCACCGGTACTCGAGTATCACAGCCAGGGGTTTATTGGTGGAAAATATGTCTCCCGCACAGAAGTGGATGACAGTACGCTTTGTTACCGGACCTATCCTAGAAAGAATGTTTAAGCAAGAGGAAAGAAAAATTAGGGGAGAGAGCCGTACGGTACTCGATAGCACGGTGGGCTGATTTATTTTTCTATGTATGATATCATACCCGTGCTACAAAATTGGTAAGCAGCCTTCCAGCCTACACGACTACGGTACCGCTCCATCCGAGAAGGTCGTGGTTGGGTTTGCGGGAGGGAGCGAGCGGCGGTCAGCACGGCTCCCACAGTTCGTCTATTCGAACAAATGACTAGGAGATTTCTTGTTTGGCTTTAGCTGTTTAATTGTCCGGGTTGGGGAATTCGGAGAACCCGGAAGGTAGTCCACTACAAATTTCTACCAGTTGGAGTGGAGATCGACTTGACCAAGTGGTTAATTATTTCAGCAAGCAAATTTCTTAACCGCAGCGGTGGGGAGTGCTGCTGCGTGCCCCGCCGAACCCCCGGAAGGCGCCAGTGCATACTATACTATGCTATATACACAGTAAATCAAGTGCTTCATCACTTGTAGGCCAGGTTTCGTTGTATACAAAACTTCACCCAACCACTTCTCCCATATTGAACTGAACCTGCCGCCAATTTTACCAGTACCTAATGTGTAACGCCACACCGTAACGCTTGGTGGGTGCTGTACCGGTGCACCAAAACTTATAGCAGCCTATGCGGTTAGTCTGTCCACTGATTTGATTCAGAGGAGTGTACTGGCCCACCAGACCACCCCCAGACAATAATGTTTGGTATCCCGCTAAGGCAAGAAGTATCCGGAAACAGGAAGGCATATTCTGTTAATTTTTGCCGCCTTTTTCTTGTCGGGAATCCGTTTATCTTGTCGGAACAAAAAAACAACAACAAAAGGTAATACGACCACTTCCCAGTTCCACATTCATTTCGACAAGTCCAGGCGCCAGAACAAGCAAGTAAACGAGTGGATCGGCGAGCACAGGAGCGTAAGTGAGATTCCCCTCCCATTGCCACTCTGCGGTCCGTGCGAGCGAGATTTGGGCAGTATCATGATATCATGGTAGGATATGGTCCGGCAGGAAGGCACCGTGAGAACCGAAATGGTTGAGAATCTCGCCAGAACGTCCGAGTTGCCTCTCCGAGTAAGGCCCATTGGGTTTTTTTTATACTTGCCTTAACTGAGGGCTGAACGAGAACCTTCCCGCTGTGCTTTCTCCCCTTAAACCAAATTTGGATCTCACCCGTTCTTCGCATAACAACCCCCGAAAGAAACCAGAGGCCCACCATCTCCTGTAGATACGTAGAGAAGTAAACCCTCGACTTTGGATCTCCGGCGGGCCCGCTACCGTAGCAGGGGTACTTTTTTTTTTTTTTACTGCGTCGCTCCATCAGACAATACTCTGGGGCCCAACCCGCCCTCCTAAGTATCAACCCATACCCGTATGTTCCACTACAGCACCTGCACCAAAAGAACTCCTCACCCCCCCCATTTAACCCAGAATAACCGTAATCCGTTAACCGTTCCATGTGTCGTGGGCTCAGAGGAGAGAGGGACCGAGAGGGTTTTCTGCACATTATCCACCAGGTAAGTATAGCTTTCATTCGCCCCGTTTGCCCACAGCTGGCCCCCAACACACGGTACGCTTTAGGGCTTTGTAAGGTTGTTATCGAGGGGAGGCAGCTCTTTGTCATCGCTGCTGATGCAGTGGAACGACTGTCTCCCGTCTATCACGTGTCAGCAGGGTGAGTATGTATTGATAATAGAAGAAGCTCCTGCCTGTATAATTGCATGGTTTGCCTGCGAGCGATGCGGGTCCCCCATCAGTGTAGAATCGTTCTTTCACCACGGCGGCTGGTTCATGTCAGCACTGCATCCTCAGACTATCTTCAAGCGGAGAACATACTTTAGTGATAGAATCGCGGACGAAAGATAGTCAATGGACCAGCATCGGTGGGGGTAACACTACGCATTAGCAAGATGGTGCTCACGGGAAAACCGACTGACGTTCTTCGGAGCCTCATCATCGACGGTGGTGCATCCGCCCATAATCAAGGAGGTTTTAAAGGAGTGACTTGTTGACGCTGGGCTAAAGGGTATGAAAGGAAAAAAACGAAACACGGCGACGATGGACCCCCCTCCCTGAGTCCCTGATCCTCCGCTCTCGCCACTCTGCCATGGGATCCCTCGATCTCGGAAATCTGTGGTGACTTTGCTGTGGGCCTCTCCTTCCACTGGGACAACTTGATGCACCCGGATACTCCTGAGGATCGTATTCCAACATCCCCCCCAGTGATAGTGCAGCAATTTGGGACAAGCGTGCCGTACAGTATATTATTTTTTTTGTCACACGCACCCGCGTAGGCACACACCATACCTTATGCCACACCGAGCTTTTGCGGCTCTAAGCTAGAATTCTCGGGATTGTTAATATAAAGTGTGAACTCGCTCACCAGGTATTGACAGCCGATAACGATACCACATACCCCATTCCTACTGAACATTCCCCCCTAAACTTCTCCTCTTTCACAACTTATCCCCAAATACTGTATCCGCAATGGTAAAGCCCTTATACCAGTGTTGAGGCACGCATTCTAATCTATTCAGGGCGCTCCATACTACATCCGCATTAAAGAACATGACTACACCGGTCCCAAGTTCCCCTCCCGTGGGCAGCTCCAGCAGTTGCGTTCAACCAATACCTACCTCTATTCCAACAACAGATTAGCCGAATCGAACGCCGACTTTGAGCACCAAGCCCCTCGGAGTGCGGTGACACTCCTAAGTGGCCGTTTCTTCCCTCCAAAGTCCTTTCATATCGCCCGTGGCGATTGGTCGGCGGCAGGTGAGGAGGAATCATATGGCTGGCAGGACCTGAGGTTTGAGGTCTGTAATGGCAAATGTATACTCGAGTACGTTTGTGAGACAATCAGACCAAACATAAATACGCGGGATTCGTGGTTGAGGGCCCTGGCAGGTGCCTCTAATATCATAGAGTGCGGTGATGCACAGGCACTCCAGGCTGCTGGTGATCCCGCAATATTCTGGGCCCTTATAGCCCTGACTATTGAAAGAGGCGAGCTGCCATCGCGGCTTGTAGAGGTGGTGAACGAGAAGAACTGGAGGACGCCTCCTGGTGCGTCTCTACACTCTTCCAGATGCTATTTTTTAATCCTTTCATACGAGACCTAACTAACCCACCTATCCAGCCCTAGAGGAGGGCCACGCGGGGCGAATTGTCATTGTGGAGATATATTGCGATCCTGCAACTCCCATATCCGGGGATTATGAGTTTCCTGATCCCTAGGCGAATCTACAGTGCGAGTACTAGCACAGTACCCGATCGGCGGAAGTGGATTCTTTCCGGCTTCGTTTTCTTTTCTCAAGTTCAGGCACAACCTTTTTCTGTCCAGCGCCTGACTTTTTCTTATTAACACTATTATCATTATCGTTATCATTATCATTATCGTTATCATCATTATTATTATCTCTCTTTGTTTTAGTCAGGGCTGGACGCCTATCGTTAATGATCATTTTTGTGCTCAGGCATTTTTTCAAGGAGTCTTGTCTAAAACGTTCATCATAACAGCTGGGGAGTTTTCCGCTATATTTTCTGTTTTGTGCGCATTGTCATCTCATTTTCCGGTTCTAGTATTTTTCTAGCCATGGCTGTTACGGGATCGAATAATAGTACACTTTCCGCCTACCATAATCCCTTTCCGAACTCTACAGATCTGCCAGTGCCAAAGCCTAACCTCTGCTCTACTATTGGTCTCTGATTGGGCGCAAGGAGAGTAGATACAACATATATATATATATACACCACAACCGTATCCCGCTATTTCGCATTCCCAACGCTTTTGAGGGATGATGACGGAACACGACACTACCTGGCAAGGATGAGAGAATTACCAGTCGAAGGCAATTGAGGATCGGCGTATACGCTGGATTTCTAGCTGATAACGCTGTAGCGGCTTCGACACTATTAAATTTGATAGACCGTACCTGCCGTACCGGGAGGAGGGCGAGGGGGGGGTGGAGAAATGTAAGAAATGCACGGTCCCAAACACCCGAGGGACAGGACACCCAACTCGGAGGCAAGAGCAGCCACAACTGGCTACGAGCTGCGCTCTCGCGGCGTGCAGTGCTCAACCTCCACGTTCTTGTAATACACGGTAGTGAACGGGCAGCTGTGCATTCAAAACGGGAGCGCCGAAAGCATCGATTGATCCGTTGTCCAAGACAGCAAATCCTGCCGCAAGAATGTATTTGGTTTCGGGGGAGAGTTGGCCCCCTACCTTGCCAGTTCCTGAAAACTGTTCCTTAGCGATTCTATTAATTTCAACTGGCCAAGTAAGGTACGGCCAGCGAGAGCTGGTGTTGGCTGCGCTGTGGATATTACTTTTTAGTACTCGAGTACGTGCGGGGATGAAGAATAGAGGTGAAACAAGGGGTTCACGTTTTTATGATGTCGAGCAAAATACTGTATTCTACCGCCTTACCCCCCCCCCCCCCGCCCACCCACGGGCAAAGAAGGGCATCAACGGATACAAATATCTACGCTTTGTTGTGGATTATACAGGCTGCCGTAAGCAAAAGAAGCATACTGTGAAAGTGAGATCACAGTTCCCGTTGGAAGGTAAGGTCGCACACCATACTTGCACCTCGAATATGATATAGCTGGGTAACCAGGGCCATCCAGTTACAGTACCGGATACGGTTACCGGTACTGCATTGTAAGTTACTCGTATGGTACAGTACAGTGCTAATGACTTACCGTACTAGCATCCCATCCGATGGCTGCCAATACATGACGCCTGACCTGCAATACGGTACTGGATAGATGTGTGCAGAAATGGCGGGATTAAACCTTGCCCCCCCCTCCTCTTCGAAATTCGACAGAGCCGCAAGTGTAACACGAGACTGATTTGATGGGATCCGTTGACATACCGGTAGCGGTATTCGAGTAGGAGGTTATGCTGTCCTAACCGCGCTGCGGGATAGCACCCTCTTCAGACACTGGAAAGAGGACGTTCGTGCATCCAAGCAGCCGTTAAAGACAAACACCCACCTGGATCACTTCACGGGACTGTAAGGAGCACTCAAAACGGCAAAAATTCCCCTCAGCACGATTCTTCTTCTTCTTCTTTCTTTTTTTCCTCGTTCATGAGTTAATTTATAGATCGGGCCCTAACATGCCAAAGGAGCCAGACAACGAGCACTGTACCAGTACTGTACGGCTATTATTGATGGAGCGATGCCAACTGAGAGGAGCTGGCATGGATGAAACTGGGTAAAACAGTTACGGCGTACCTATGGCTCTACTCGAGGATGTCATAGTTCTGTACTGTACCAAGCCGCATCGCTTGATACTTGTGATGATCTACAGTCAGCTCTCGGGGGTGACGTTAATACCTTGGATAAAGGTAAAAGAATTGCAGGTGCTCTGTTCACCCCCATCGCCCATGCCCCACATCCCCTCTACCTAAGGTAATAGTTGACGATTTGTATCATTAGATGAGGTTAATTGAACCCAATAACCTCGAGCGGTTCTCGAACAGCAGGTGTGAGAGCAGACATATGACCCGGTTTACTACGCAGCTATCCGCACAGCGCACTACTGCTGCACTGTATCATGGAGATATGTTGTTACAGTAACACCAGTATCGTGGAATGCCGCGCCGGGGCCAGCACGATCCTCCTAATCCCCTACTCCGCTGTCACTACTCGAGTACATGTCCGAGCAGAGAAGGAAAAGAAGAAAAAAGAAACACCCCTCCATCGTAATCAGATAAATCGGACACACGACAACAACGTGGGCTTCCTCGACCCTGGCCATTAATTTATGACGCTGCACACTTCACGAGTTTTAGGTACCGTGCGAACGGAGCGTGCTCACCGAGAGCGCAGTACCTTGAGCCAGTAAAACATTCGATAACTTATAAGAGTACCGGTATCGTGGCGTGCGAGCAAGTCAAAGTCGATCCAAAAAGCTTCCAGCCCTTCAGCCATCCACGGTGAACAAATCTCGGACATCGCGAGATCATTACAGCTAAACCCGATTCGCATGTCTTGAGCAACAACGCAAAGACGACGCTCATCCATTGATCATTAGCAAGGAAAACACTTTTCCCCGGATCAGGAACGTTGCATCACTCCACCGCGGGGAAAAAAGGTAAAAGTAAGAATAATGATAATAATAACAATTCTGAGCAGTAGGATGGAAGAAATAAAAAGCTTCAGTCCCATCCTTTGCTACAGTAATACCGGTAGAGTTGGCAATCAGCCTATCGGTAGGTGACACCCATCCGGTGACCTACCGTGAGCGTGCCGTACAGTACAGCACGGTGGTGCCTGCCAGTAACACCACCTCAGCGAGAGAGACACCCCAAAAAACACCAGAAATCACTCGAGAGAGGAATAAATAGATAAGTGGGTGAATGGAAGATCTACGGATTTCTCAGGGAACACGTTGTGTCCTGTGGGGTAAAGGGGGAGAAAAGGGAAAAAAAGAAAAGAAGAAAAAAAAAGGTATCATACACAGACGAGTGCTGCCTGAAGACTACCGTACATACATACATCATGTTCGCTTCTAATGCCTTAGACTAACACTTCGGCCGACCGACCAGCCAACCAAAAGGACGATCGCCGACCGATTTATTATTTCGGGGAAGTTATCATACACAGTGGTAAGTTATGGAAGATACTCCGTCACTCGGTTCAGGCGCAGGGGAGAGAGCAAAAAAAAAAAAAAAAAGAAAAGAGAGAGAGAGAGCGAAAGCTGGACACCGCGAGAGGGGGTTCGAGCAGACCCCAAAGGCGCTGTTATTTCTCCTCCTCGTCGGCATGATGAGTTGGAAGACATGCTGTTACTTGCTCTTCTCCAGGAATCGTGGGGGCACTCACTATCTTGTAACTTGATAGCGTAGCGTTAGCTCTTTGCGGTGAAGTTGTCTTGCCATTTCTTTCTCTCTTCCTTTCTTTTTTTCTTTTTCCAGGGACTAAATGGGACGAGAATATGCCATGTTTTTTTTTTTTGTGAGGAAGTTTCCTTCTCTCTCTCTCTCTCTCTTCTTTTTTTTCCCTCTCTTTCTCTTTCGGGTTTCCCGAGCGAGCACGTCGGTGATGGTGAGCTTTCCGCGACGTTTCGATTTTACAATCAAACTGATGGCTTTCTGAGGATCTCTTATTGGATTTGTCGTGTTACGTGTGCTACGTTGCTTATCGTAGGGGAGGGGGGTTTTTTTTTTTTGACTTGTAATACCGGTATGGTATAGTACGAGTACAATGGAGTAAATTACATTACACCAATTTCGCTCTTTGATTACCGTGCATGTTCAGCTGTCAACACGATTTGTACTAGCACTGTACTCGTACGAGTACTGTGCAGTACGGTACTCGAGTGCTCAGACCTCGAGTGCTGCAGACTTGATATTCGTTACGGGTGCGAGTACTTGTACGGACGCCGGTGCAGTGCTCTGGTTCTCTTCTGCCCGGGACGGCGATTAACTACTACGATAGTGATTAATCCTCAGAGTCTACCGCTCATCCCGAGACGAACGTCTTCAGCGTCACGGATACGTTAGTCATTTATTACTTGATTATTAGGAAGAAATACTCCGTACAGAGTCTTTCCGGTTCAGAAAAAAAACAAAAAAACACCCTAACCTTGATTCTGGCCCTCAGCACTCCAAACCTAAACATCACCACTACCACCGCTGCCTATGGGCGAGATGACCGCCATCGCGGCGGATAGCCCAAAGACCTAGAAGTCCAGGGCACCGGGATCCGCTCCGGCGCCGGAGCCCGGAACATCATCCCTCCAAACTCCCGTCGCGCGTGGGGTGCGTGCTCTTCAAGTACGATACCTCACTCAGGGAGCTGGGATATCACGCTGCTCCCGACAACACGGCCGCGGTGGCGAGCGGGTGTGACGGGAGTTGGTACGCCGGGGACGTCATGAGTGCTACCGGACACGAGCCTCTCATGGGATGTTGAGGCTAAAAGAGTTGGGATGGACGCGCATGGCGGGAAGGAGCAGATTGCTGGGAGGCATGTAGGGAAGGAGCACAGGTGAATACTGGCAGGAACGCGGAGATTTTGTGTGGGAGCAAGGCACCTGGTCAGACCAGGTGGGAGAATTTGTATAATATTATAAAAGAAATGCCCTCAATAAACAGGATGGATCCGACTCATTGAATTTTGTTTCATCGGGTTACGAATGCTTTGGGCTCCTGTAGATCCTCCGGACGGTGGATGAGGTGTAGAAATTTGAGGTAGATGGCTCGCTCAATACCCAAAAGCTTGTCGGAGTATATCGCCCTCTTACTACGGCAATGCGTCAGCTCGGGGGGACGGGGGGGAGCGTAAAAAATTTCCATAAGCCATTCTGGTTAATAGACCACCGCCCATTTTCCCAATCCCAGATCACACACAATCACTCGCAGACCCACTCAGCCTCACCCGGGAAATGAGCATTTCCCCGGAAATAAGACATCGCAGGGCTGGTGCAAAATTAGCGCCGCCCGAAGCCCCTTGGGGAACGCCCGGGGTGATCCACTCACACACGACAAGGCTGGTTCCACCACTCAAAGAAGCAGGCTCATGCGAAGTGCCCCCAGACAATCTGAAGGTAGTAAGCCTGAGATCCTGTTTGCGCAGCCAAATAGAGTGGGATCTGGTTGTATAGATACGGTGAGATTATTTCATTCCAGTAACATGAGATAAGGCTAACTTATAGCGGTAGCACGACTCTGAGTTAAGCAACTAATCCATGTCTGTAGCCAGGGATTTTCGGTTAAGGGTTCGTGGTCTTGGGACTTTATGCTTGGGCTCTGGCACTAGGCTATGAACCCCACCCCATAACCGGGACCGGTATGCTATCCGTGATGTTATCCTTGGGTTGAGGGAGTAAGTGGCATGAACCAACGGTGACTTCTAGGGATACTGTGGCACTAAAACTCCGATGGCTTCAAGTAGGGTCTGTGATCTGGGACTTTACTTAACAAGGGCGTGGTGTTCGTGGGGGCATAGACCAAGATATCAATCATAGCAGTATGATAGTGTTCAAGGTGCTGTGAATCGGGGGTTATGGCATTGGGCGTCAGCTGGGGTACTCGTGGCTCTGAGCTGTGATATGAATTGGCACCCGTTTGTCCTTTCCATGTGCCTGCGGTGGCTATCCGCTGTGGTGAAAAAGGTGCCAATTCTTGCCGCAGAGGCAGGAGCGCAGCAGGGGTGGATTCTAGTTTGCTATTGATGGGGGGGGGGATAGGGCACGGTTGTAGAGATGGCCCGGTCTTTGTATTTATTAGGACGGGGAGACACCACCATTCTGCCACGAAAGAATAGATGAGACGTAGGTGCACGAGTGTATATGGGCTTGCCGGTACTAATGTGGCATCACGGTTCAGTTACTCGTACAGGCATGGCTGCTGCGCCTGGGCTCAAGTAACACAGTTGAGGGTATGGGCATCGTACTACAAGTAGTGCGGCAGGCAGCGTGCTGGGTCGCCCTGGTAAGTTTTTAACGCATGGTAGGAACCAAGCTCAAAAGAGGGAAGTCGGAAGCAGCTCCCGTGTCTTAGTAGTCCCGGTAGCCAACAAAAGAGTATCATAGGGATGACAAAGAAGCTGAATTGGTAAGCTAGGGTATTTTCCGGTACAAGTTTTATGCACGCAATCCACAGCTCTCAGGGTGCTCCATCACTGTACTATAAGGAGTTTATCGTAACCGATTCCTATATATAAACCCTCCGGTGCCTCCAATGCGCCGTAACGGCGTCGTATCGATGCTTCTAAACAAACTTCTTCCAGGCCTCCTCTTCATACCCGTCCACCATCTCCAGCAAATTTCCTCCTTCCTTAACCCATCCTTTTATCCCACCCTCCAGTGCAAAGCTCTTCATATTATTGTCCCCCTTCTCATTAATATAATCCTGCATCCAAGAAGCCGCTCTAGATCCTCTTCCTTGCGACGATCCTGTTTCCTTCGTTAACCCCACCTTACAGGTGCGGGGGTCCGGAGCACATGACGTACCACAATAAAAGACAACGGCCGCAACACCCGCTGACGAGAACAGGGTGTAAAGCGTTGGGATGGAGGGGTGCATGCTCTGAGCGGGAAGGTTTATGGAGGTTTTGATGGTTCCTCCCTGCTGGGCATTAGTTTTTCCGAAAAGCGAAACAAAGAGCCTATGCGCTTCTTATCCATCAAGTGTTGGGGGAGTCAATGGGAGAGGAGGGGATATCGACTTCATGGTCGTTACGGCGAAGGTCAACTAGGACAAAGTGCTTTCCCGGAAGCTTGTCTTCTGATGAGAACCATTCCAAGACCGTGGAGCGGGGAAGGAAGACCGCCTCCGAGACTGGCTTTGGGTAGGCTGCGTGCCAGGGCGGTTGTTCGGAGGTAGACATGGCCGAATAGGAACTGTGGGTTGGAGGAGCGCTGATATGATGGGTATGAGTGAATCTTAGTTGATTTGATGCTGATGACAGTAATGGGAAAGCCGAAGCACGAGGATGGGTGGGTATCAGGGTCCCTTTGGGTGGGCGGCTTATATCTAGTGAACTGTTCGCTGGTGGTCACGTTTGTGGTTGGCGAACTCGGACTGGCTCGCTCAAGCGGCTGTTCCACGCCAAGAAAGTCGATGGAAAAAAGAATTCGGGATTCAAGTACTAGAACAGTACGGCGCTGGTAGAACGAGAAGGGCGCCCGAAGCTCCGGAATTTCGGTAAAGATGGATAGGGTCTGGGGGGGTTGTCGCTGCTAGGCGGTGCCCAATGGACAGATTCCTTTCTTCTACGTAGCCAATCGGCCAATATCTAGGAGATCCGTCGCTTGCGGTTGAATGTCACTGTCAACCAATGGGCGTCGAGCAACCTGTCATCAACCTGCGGGCAATGGGACCTGCCGGGGGCCTGTCTCAATAAAATAAAATAATAATGAGAATAAACCACGGGTTTAATATATTTTTTCCAAGGACTGAATGTCAATGACATGCTTTTGGAAAGGCAGTTCGTCATCTGTGACATTCATCCCTGGAATTCCGCCACCAAGCGGAGAATCCCATCTGCTGTGCCCTGCACAGCTGGTATAGAGCGATGCTTTTTTATTTTACATATCTGCTCACCTCGCCCGCTCTCAAGTTCTCCCGTTTCACTTATGATTAGACATAGATAATATGGCATCTGGCACTCCAACATCGTCCGAGAAGGCCCCTGAAGGCTGCATCACTCCAGCAGGCTCTTTAACAGCACAGGTTCCAATTCCAGGTGAGAAAGTACCACCAAATGCCCCCCTCAGTGCGTTCAAACAGTTGTCATTCCTCGACCGTTTCCTAGCAATATGGATCTTCCTAGCTATGGCCATTGGCATCATCCTGGGTTACTTTGTGCCCGAAATGGCACCAGCTCTACAGACCGCGGGGGATTTCGGTGCGGTGGAGGTCTCGGTGCCGATAGCCGTTGGACTGTTGGTCATGATGTACCCAATCCTGTGCAAAGTGCGGTACGAGTCACTGGGAGGATTGATCAAAGTGAGGGCACTCTGGATCCAGGTGGGGTTCAGCATATTGGCCAATTGGATACTTGCACCGGTAGTAATGGTTAGTATGGGATTACTTCTTTAGCGGGACGGGGAGCAGATCCTTCTAACAGAGATAATAGGTCGGACTATCGTGGGCATTCCTCCCCGATAGGAGCGACCTTCGTGAGGGCTTGATACTCGTTGGGATTGCCCGATGCATAGCTATGGTAAATCCATAGAACCAACATCACCCAAAGACACGAATAACTGATTATATCTCTCAGGTGCTCATCTGGACCGACCTTGCTGCCGGCGATATGGACTATTGCGCGATGCTCGTCGCTCTCAACTCTGTCCTCCAAATAATCCTCTTCGCCCCGCTCGCAGTCTTCTACATTAGCGTGATCTCCCGATCCAACATCGAGATCAGGTACGAGACCGTGGCAGTCTCGGTAGCCGTATTCCTCGGCATCCCTCTCGCAGCCGCAGTCATAACCCGATACCTAGTCCTAACCCTCCTCTTCGGCGGAGACCTTGATAAGTATGGAAAGCGCTTTATCCGCTGGATATCTCCTCTCTCCCTGATCGGGCTCCTCTTCACAATCCTGATCCTCTTCGCTTCGCAGTCCCGCAACATCGTCGGTAAGATCACGGATGTCCTTCGAGTTAGTGCGCCGCTGATCGTCTACTTCCTGCTCATATTTGGTGCTACGCTGTGCGCTTGCCGGTATTTCGGAAGCGGCACGTTCAAGGGATTGGGAGAATGGGGGTACAGTGTTACTGTCACACAGAGTTTGACAGCCGCGAGTAACAATTTTGAGTTGGCGATTGCGGTCGCCGTTGCTTGTTACGGGGCTGGGTCGCCCCAGGCTTTGGCGGCGACGGTCGGGCCGTTGATTGAGGTGCCCGTGCTTCTAGGATTGGTTGAGGTTATGAAGTTGACGGGGAAGAGGTGGCAGTGGAGTGATAGGAGGGTTGTAAACCCTGCTTAATCCTGCACCCGAGGGATGGGGCGGACCTTTCTTTTCCCATTTTCGTTCTCCCGTCCCTTTCAACCAATGCACACACATCACATTTCGGGTTTGCAGAAAGGATATATACATTAGAAAAGGTTGTTCCCGAACGCCTGATCAGGCCGTAAAAAGAGATCGATTATGATAGTACAAGAGGATAAATGCACGTATAAAAGGACTTCATGTTCATTATAATTTCCAACACGATACAGATTGCGAACCAGCCCGAGTGATCTTCAATGACGCCCGCATCACAATCGACGTGCGTGCTCCGGACCCTTGCAGCGGGAGCCATCTCTTTCGTCCACCGCCAGCTGCAGCCTCTCCACATTGCAGTACCGCCCGCAGTAATAGCCCAACACATGCTACCGATATACGGTATCGCCGCAGTTACTACCCCAGTCCAACCTGCCCACCCCCGTTCCCCCTTTGCCTTGGCTTTGCTTATTCCCGCCGTCGATCATTAATTATACTCATGCGCCCGCCCCGCCCGCGCACACTACAGTAGGTACGGTTTGATCGGCACCTTAGCCGGAGACACCCCCACGGAATGGTGGGGGTGTAAATCTCGGTACCGAGAAATGTGGCGTGCAGTGTCGGGTAAGGATATGGCATTGCGGCGGGGTGCGGTGGTGAGGCTTGTGTGGTGGTATCATATGCGGAAGGGGGGGGGGGGGGGGGGGAGTAGTGCCCGCACGGCGGCAGACGTCGTCACAGTATTGGTGTCGGGGTCTCTTGATGGTGGGACACCGGAACTGGCTTTTTTTTTTCGGGCTCATGGGAGGTGGTGGATAGTTATGGGGGGGGGGGAGCGTTTCTTTCCTTCTTTCTTTTTACCCCTCCTATTAGGATGTGTGTTGACTTTGTTGGCTCATTAAATCACTATTGAAGGGAGGAATGGATTGGTGACCTATTGTGTCACACCATGGTGGAATTTCATGACCTGAAAAAATAAATAATAAATATTCCCTTGTCCTCCCCTTCCCTTCCCTTGACCGGGGTCATAGCTTAATCCCAGGCGGGTCCAACCTCTCTCCCTCCCTTCCTGGACAGAAACCCCCAGCACACAATCCATCACTCGGCCGGAAAAACTCCGCATAATCCCCCTCCTCACCCCTCCTCACGTGGTTTCTCCACACCTTAGGACAAAATAACCCTCCCCAAAGAAGAGTGGCAGGTAACAAAAAGACAGACAAAAAAAGCCTACATAGATGGAACAGACGAGGCGCACCGCTGCTGATATAACCGCTGAAAGCACAAAGCCGTATTCGATCTCAAGGGCCCCTTTACATGCCTAAAGATACTAAGGATAGTACCGCTTTTCCGGGCACACATACTTACTGTATGATACAGACACTGCAGTGGAGTGCGGTACCGTAGTAAATCACGACACTAATAATATACCAAGACGCACCGGCAACCTTCCAACATTTTATGAAAACGATTACTTATTGCATGCCGTCAAAATGCTGAGCGTCCCACTGATCTCTTTCTTTCTTTCTTTGCCCATATGTAATAATGACTACCGTATGTCCACGACCGTCAGGAAAAATTGCGAGTAAGTAAGCAGGTTAACATCCGGCTTATTTAATTTTACTCCACGCGGGGTAACTGCTTCTCATTGGGTATGTTCTGTCTGTCTGTCGGAATTCTAGAATGGGTACCGCACAGGACTTTTGCGCCAACGACGTTTCATCTAGTTTTTCTAGGGAGGAGTTTTTTTTTTTCTTTTCTATCTCCCTTTTTTGCGTTTTGCATCCTTACACGTAGTCATGGCAGTGAGCCTGTTATACAGCATGAGGCTTTGGTTGCCGGTTGTGGATCGGGAGATTTGTCTAGTAGAGTAATACTCTTCGTCCAGTGGCGATGCTTACTCGTTTTTGGATTGATTGTGGGTACGCTTGGGTTGATCGTGAGCACGCAGGAGATCAAGGTGTGTGGGGGATACAATGTGATATAAGGTAAGGTAAGTTGTTTTTATTTGTTTTTATTTGTTTTTTTTTTGCTCCTGTTCGTGCAGATGAGAATGTTTGAACTCGCTACTGTGTAGTACGCCGTCGATGGTATCAAGGTTATGAAAAGGCCTATGCGTCCAAAAGAAATGTTTGAAAAGTTCCTCTCGTTTCGTCCAATGAAAGTGTCCTAGGGAAAAAAAGGCCTGACCCCACGATCTATACCCTCTTTTCTCGTCCCGGTGATAGGAAGGTATCGAAGAGGGGATAGTAGTAAGGGGAAGATCCCCCCGTTTTCTCTAGAATCTCTATGTATAATGTTCATAGACTTTTTACTTCGTTTCGAGAGACTGCAGGTCGAAGACCACGAATTTCAGTCCGTTTTACTTGTTGTCCCCCCTCCAAGACCTGGTAGCTGCCAAGCGCTTTACCGTAGCAATTCCTAAGGAGGCCGGGACCGTAATAAGATATCCAACCCGTTGGACGTGCATTGTTATATGTAGTCCTATTGATGCCCCGCCCATATGAACATGCCGAGGGTAGCAATGCTGAATAGCTAGCCTAGGACCGATCCTTCAATATCATCACGTCTTGGTTCCTAGCTATGAGACCAACTCGACGAGCAACCATAATTGCCGAATATTGGCATTATTGGTCGGGTCAACTATATCCCGTTAATTATTTATGATACTGCATTTAGGTTTTCAAGGGTAGGCCTTACATCAAACGGAGCCATGAGCCACATACAAGCAGCCGATCCCATCAATCCATCCTATCTTTAGTCCGGCTCGGCTAGATGTTTCTGCTCTCGGGGGCCTCTGATCTACCGGTCATGATGCCGCCAGGAGACGCAGGTTAGTCAACCATGATCCTGATCCAATACACCAGGAGTTCTTCGCAGGGCGCTCGGTCTAGAGCATGGTTATGCTGAGAATGAGAGGGCCCGGGGCGCTTGCGTCAAGCAAAGCCACATCGGAGAAATGAGCCAAGAACCGGCTTCTGTGCTTATCAACTCCTATCATACTGTAAATTTTAGGATCACGGAACCCCGAATTTATATCCCTATCTCAACCCCCCAAAGCCTTATTAGTTCCTTTGCCCTCCTAACCAAAGAATAATGCTTAGATATTGCCCATTCGTAAGCTCTTTTGTGATTTCGAGGACAAGAGAGAGGGGGGGAGAGGAAGGCTGAAGAATTAATGCAGCCACCGTTTTCGAGAAAAAAAAAAAAAAACACTGCCATTCAGCGCAACGCCCGATCGAGAGGCGGTGAGAGGGAAAAAAAAGAAAACATTTCATGTCCGGTATGCCTTGTAGTACCGGTACCGCAGTACGGTATCCCGGAAAAGCAAAACAGGAACATCAGGATACGGGAATTCCCGTTTTGATCCAAATTTAAGTCGTGAAACTGAGGAAGAAGTTTCCTGGGAAAAATACCTTGCCAATCAGAATTATGGCCCCCTAGTGTGTGGGGCGGGTTCTAGATTTTGGGATGGCGATGAGTGGGTCCGTTGAATGTTTGTGGGCGTTTCTGTCGATGGGCATCACGCCCGCCAATAGCTTGCATAAGCACGCTCATCGAAACTACGTTGTTTGTCAACCGTGTTGGATTCCTGCGCATGGATAGAGAGGGGAGGGCCCCGGATGCTGTTATATAGTTCTTTGTCCCCCATCTTTCAAAAAAGAGTCTCTTAATATATCAAGCCCACAATCAAGAAATGCTGTAAGACAAAATCCCTTCACCCCCCCCCCCCCAAGTCCACATTCTTAGTGAGCTAATTCTGAACCTAAGGAAGAGAGGAAGGCTACGGGCTGCCTTCTCAGTCACTGCTGAGTCTCTCCAAATCAAGCTGTACTCAGAGGTCAGCTATCACAGTCACAAAAGACTAATTGCCTTCAGGGAGAATCATATTTAGGTAATGCACCTTCCTAGCCTTTAAACATAGCCTTCTAACTAGTATGTGTGACACTGTCAACCTGCGAGATCCAGCGATGAATCGCATAAAGCGCACTCTCCCGGCGAAGGATACGACCCCATTTCGCCGGACCTGATCACTTGCCACTTCCAGAGGTTGGATTATCCCCCCCCCGCAAGGCCCCATTCCGAGAACTCCTGCCTCCTGGCCTAAAAAAAAGCCATTGGTGGACCCCAAAGATTGGAATACCGGTAGCCCAATAATACCATAGGTACTGCTAACCCATAGGAGCTAGATCAGCTCTTGTGTTTTAGGGCCGATTTATGCCTCCAGGTCTATAAGGCCAATGCATTTGCCCAGGATGGGCCGGAGCCAGTCACCCGCCCTATCAGGCCCCTTTTTCCCCATTGTCCCGGATTTGGCCCCTCTAAACCCCCATTTCCCCGGATTTGGATGCCCGGGACCCGGTGCTGCTTGTCTCGAAATTTCCGACGAGAGTTTTCTAACGAAACTAGCGATTGTTTGCGTGGACTTGTTAGGTCCAGCTCATAGCAGCTCACAATATTATCCATAAACCTCCGGGTTTAGTGGGGGATGTGGGTGGAGGTCTAAAGGATTTGCGGTGTTGGATTTCGTTTTTTCTCTGAGGTCATGTACAAAGGTACTCTTCTCCTTACCTTTTTTCCCGCGCGGTTTTTTTCGAGGAGTTTAACGAGGCCTCCGATGGTACTCTTCTCCTTACCTTTTTTTCCCGCGAGGTTTTTTTTTCGAGGAGTTTAATGAGGCCTTGAATATTTGTATCCGGGTTGGCTTCTTTGATTTGGCACCTTTCTTTTTTTGGTTAAAGTACGTTATTTTTACCAAAATTGCCCGTTTTCCATGATGAAAGCCCCCCGGAGGATCGCTGCCCACCTAGTCCCGGAAGATCTGAAAAGAGCAGCAAGGAGGAAGGGCGCGGGAAAAGAAGAGTCAAACGGAACGAGAAGGAGTTTTAGCGAGGACCAGTGGAAAGGGTATCTAGGAGGGCCGGGGGGGTGGGCGGGGGATTTTCGAGAGAAAATAGAGTGTTAATCCTCCCAGGGAATTTCTCCCTCATTCTGTGATACCCGTCCAGAGATTCTTCACCCTGTTCAGCCCGTTGCGTGTACCATGTTCCGGTCTCCATTGAGCTTCTGAGATACCTCTGGAGCAAGCACCTCAATGTTCGTGACATTTACCCCCTTCTTCCCGTGCATTTTTGGCCCCCACCAGTGGAGTCCAAATTACCCCCTATGATGGACCACCAAGCCCACTAGGCAGCCTGAGATGAAATCCGTAGCTTTGCCCAAGTTGTACAATCCAATCAATGAGCGATCCCCGCCCACCCCTCCGAAGAAAACGCCTTCCTTGAGAATCAGTCATGACTACTCACTCACACTCCACCACATCGACAACTTCCACTTCGCACAAAAAGCAAACTAAATGCCCTCAGCTTCACTTTTGGGGTTGCGGCGATGCATCCGGGCATCTATTTCTACTCCCCCGCACATGCAAGAAAAACCTGCATAATTTAGCGGTCCTCTTAGCGGTCCTCCCCTCCGTGATGAGTGTATTCCATTCCGTAAAAGCTGATAACTAAAAGAAACAAGCCAACCAAAACGACCATTCATAACTTATCACGATCCACAGTAGGAACTGCCGTTCCCCCCCCCCCCCCCTTACCAAAACCTCTAATGGAACCTTCGCCCCCCTCGGCAGGCTCTACTAAAATTCTCATACCGACATCTACCTTCCCACCAAGAACGATCCCGATAATCCCAGCCTTCCTCTGTACAATCCTGTCACTTCTCCTTCTGCCGTACAACACACTTCTCCTGCAACCCCTCCTGGGCTTTTCAATCTGTGGGCACGGATCCCTCAGCCCAGTGATCTCTACCATCATCGCCCCCTCCTCCTCCTCCCGCTCCGCTCCTCCTCCTCCACCCCATCCCTAACAAATCTCGATCGATCACCCCTGCCCAATCCGAAAATGCCGGTGCCGGAGGTCGTTACGTTCTCCCACTTCGTCCCCGGGATTGACGACGTTCTGACCGTCGAGACTGAGCGCCGAGAGGAATTCCTAAGATATAAAGTGCGCCTGGCACAGATTCGGTGCTCACAGGTTGATGCGTTGTCGGTACAGGTGTTGGATTGTGGCGCCGGCGTGGGAGTCACCGCTTACGCCGTAGTTTTGCACGAGGGTTATGGAGGTTACGGGTGTTTTGGAGACGGAGTGGGTGGGCGAGAGGGATACTGAGCCGACCCTCAGGCTCATTTTTTGGTTTGGTGACTGGGTGATTGGGCAATATGTGATTCGGAGGGTAGATGTGTGGGTGTGTGGGTGTGTGGATGATGATACGGAGCGAGGTGAGGTGGGAGGGGAGGGGGAGGGGGAATGGGAGGGTTTGCCGGATCGATCGGAGCTCCTATGGGGGGTTTTTTTTCCCTCCCTCCCATGCGATATGTGAGAATCCGTTCTACGCACCCGTATTCGGATAAACGGTAGGGCACGTACAGTACGGGCCTTTCTATCTCGCCCGCTTATACAGCGGTGTTGCACACAATTTACGTAAAGTGATGCTTTCCGCTTGATAGAAAGTATAAACCGTCCGTGCAATGCGCAGAAAGGTAAGTTTTATGAATGGACCACCTGCGGAAGATAGCAATTGAGCCCAGGACCGGTGCCATGTCTGTCGGATTCCGACTAGGTTTCCTTATCTAGGCCCCCTTGAAGCGCTTGAGAGGTACTGTAGATAGGTATGTAGGAATAGATAGACACATTGATAAATCTATAATACCAGTAACAGGCAAGGCAAGTTAATGTGGGAGGTAAGAAGAAGTAACGATACTGCAAGTATCACAATCGAAACTAGTATTTGGCAGTAAAAACAAAAATAAAGAATAAGACACCTTCGCAGTATTATAAGTCCCGAGTATTCATCTGCACGATCTCCGAACTCTATTACACTGGAATCCGTGCTCAGGGCGTGTACCGGTACTCTACCGGTACTATCATATATGGTTCCGGAAGGCTAGCCTCTAAACCAGTTTTCAAACAAAAAGTGTAACGATTGTTTGTGTGATGGCAACCGTAACGCCTGACTAATTGTTTACTCCAACAGTTATACCATAAGACCCTAACACCAAAGGTTCTTGAATTATCATACTTCATAAATTATGTTCACCATTTTTCCACCTCTGGGTAATTATTCAAACTTGATTAATTTTACACGTATTATATTTGGTATTAAACTTGAAGAAATAATACTTCAAGTTGGTTACAAGCTTACTTATGAAGAGTTTAAAAAGTTAAATATTATGAATGAAAGAAAAAAGTAGAAACCCTGTAAAGTACCTTGCCAGAATATTCAAACCATAACTATCACCTTAGACATGAACTTCAGATTGAGCAATACGGCGATGTGAGGAGTACCGGGTATAAACATGTCGCTTAAAGTCTTCTGAACCATAAATGAGATTCTGTCGATATGCATCCATCATACGTAAAGTACGTTGATAGTATTTCCAAATGAGCTCATTTGGAATTTGATGTAAGGCCAAGGGTACAGTTCGTACCAAGGCAGGAAAGGTGTATTCGCAATGCGATCTCGTATAAAGTTTGGCGCGACCCCAGAAGTACTCAATGAAGTTAAGCTCACAGTGAAATGCAGGGTAGAAAATTGCCAGATGACCTGCAGACTCTAAGGTCTCCTGTAATAAACATTTTTGTTTCTGAAAATCTGGCTGTGAAGACAGAAGAGCTCGTGCACAGCAGTTGGCATTTTTGGCTTTTCTGCAAGCAGGATTCAGCTTTCGTTCTCCGGGCTTTTCACCAGCAACTGAGCATTGAGCCAGAAACCTTTGACCCTCTGGCCATAGGCCCCGTTCTTGTAATACAAGCCTTAAGCCCTTTAGTTGACCATCAGGCAACATCATTGACTGTTTTTGTATCAACTGAGGATTGTTAGGATGTCTAAAGTAGCCATCTCGCATCGGAAGAGTGTTTTTTCCACCAGGTGTAAGGTTCATATTTCCAGCCTGTAGAGCATCTGATGCATACATCTGATGGATTTTGGCATTATCAAAGGCAAATAGGCCTTGACATCCAGGAAATGCAACCTCGAAGGCTGGAATTACTTTGTCTGTAAGTTGTTTGATTAACAACTCTCCTGTCCACCAAACATCACCACCACATTTCAATATTTCGCAGACATTTCCACCATCCAATCTTCCAACAGGTGTTAAAAAGTCAGAAACATGGAGCCCTTGGCCACGGCCCTTTTTCCGAATTGGTACTTGATCCTGATGGACCCAAACCTTCTTGCGACCATCATTCGAGTTAAATGTGCATTCATCATGTGTTAGGAACACAATTGGGCGAGTATTTGGCTCTTGATTCTTAGGAATAACCTTAAGATGTTCATCCCATTCTATCATCCTTGGCTGGAAGGATAGCATTTGGGGAAGAAATATATTATCCCGATAGGCTTTCACATCTTCTCGTTCATGGCCATCATAGTAAATGCCTTTCTTGACCTCCTTCCAATTCCATCCTAGTTTCAACAACCATACACGTGCTGATCGACTTGACAGTGCTCGTTTAATCCTTCGATGGATACCATCAATTGAAATAATCGGTAAATCTCTCCCAAGCTGAGAAATACCCTCTACATCCTTATCTCGTTCAGCCCAGTAGTTTGTAATAGCTCGTGCTAGCCCATTAGAGTCCATTGCTAGATGATAAATAAAAATTAATACTGTGGCTTAGATCATACAAACAAAATCAGAAATCACTTACTTTCACCAGCTAGTGCGATATATTCTCTTATCGCCAACATAGTCCCCTCATCAGAAAGCCAACTAGCTATCTTAACATGTTTACCTTGCCTAGGAGCAGGCTTCTTTCCATACTGAATATAATTTACCTCTTGTCTGAGGATTCTGTTTCGTACCCAAGTACCCCAACCACCTGAAACAGCTACCTGCATGGCTAACTCTTTTCTAGACTTCATTGGTGTAATTGGGTCGGTTGATTCTCGTTCAAGCTCTGCTGACTGCCATTGCTTCTCTGCTTTCAACTGCAACTTTAGAAATGTATAAAGTTGGACATTCCAGTCTAGTTGTAGATTCATATCTAGAGAACCTCTTCTTTTTGATGATAACTTAATTGTTTTCTTAAGTCTCTGAATAGCAGCATGAAGAATTTCTTCTTTGAAGATCCTTAAAGAAGTTGATAGACGGGGCCAATTCTTGTAAGCCATCTTGCGTAATTCTAGATTCTAGCAACTGAATTTTAGTACAAATTTTATCAAAATTTAATGTAAATTACCTACATCCTGACTTCCTAATTCACTAATTTGGTTTTGCAACCTAAGTTGCTTCTTTTTGGAATACCATCTCCGAAATCGTTCACTTTGGCTAAGTGAATTTGGCTTCACATATCCAATTCTTTGCCTCTGCCGTTCTCGGCACTTTTGAGTTCTTTCACGTGAAGAGCGACCACTTCTTGCTGGTCTGTCTATAGGACTATTGGTTGAGGATTCCGAGTCGCCAGTCTGAATTGTTGCCTCTCGTAGTTGTTTTTTTTTTCAAGCGATACCGACGGGTTCTCTCCTTTCCCGATAGTGGTACTGAATGTGAGACCTCTTGGCCTTCTTGCTGTTTTGCACGAAATCTTTGAACACGCTTTCTTGTAGCTGCACGTAACTGGTCCTTTTTTTGCTGTTCGATAAGATCTTCTGGAATCTCCATTTTCAATTCTACTTTTATGATATTAGGCTAGGAAAGTAGATATATAGGTATTTTAACTTACGTAGATAATATCTAGGCTTCAAGTATAGAAATAATGCAGATTTAATGGCATAAGAAAGATATAAAAGTCTGAGTATAGAACTTTGCTGATATAGAAAAGTAGCATATGAGGTTAAGAGAGGAAATTAATTTAAATTAAATGTTTTTAATGTGGAATTACATTGTATAAGATAACAAAAACCCCAATTCCCTACTGATATGAAAGTTGAGGTTTGATAACCTAACTCTTGAAGTAAACAATTAGTCAGGCATTACGGTTGCCGTCACACAAACAATCGTTACACTTTTTGTTTGAAAACTGGTTTAGAGGCTAGCCTTCCGGAACCATACCATGCTAAACCGGAACGCGTGAGCACGGTACATTCGGAGAGAATCCGAATACCGCCCAGTATTAAACAAATATGATACCAACTCCCGAGAACAAATCTTGGATCACAAGAGTTGACTCGACAAAAATCCCTCAGCACATGAACCCCACATAACCCCCCTTCCCAGTACCAGGCGTATTGGTGCCAATATTGATACCAACCCCCCCCCCCCCAATCGCCACTACCATAAGAAGGAACGTGAGGCAGTATCCATCAACATCCCCAGCACTTCAGCCCCCTATACAAACCGGAACATATCATGCCCAGCCCCATGTATCCAAAACACATCACCCACCACCACCGCTGGATGTCACCCAAGATGCGGAGCAAGAATGGTAATAGGCCCGACTCGCCCAGCTTCCCTTGACCGTTCGGTAATCCCCCGAGGCGTCATGGCTTTTTACCTCCGAGCACGGTTATCTGTCGACATCCCACTACGGGTAATCCCCGTTTAATACCACAGCGCTCCTGCGCACCCGGTTCAGGGCCAACAACCCCCCACAAGGCAACTGAGACAGGTCAAGTTTTTTACGCAGGAAGGAGGAAAGGAAAAGATCGGACGCCCGGGCACGTTCGTTGGGGGGGGGGTTCTCCCGACATGGATTCACCGAGCAAGAGACCAAATACCATTCTCCATCCTCCCACCTACCCATATGATTGCACGCGTCGTCACTACCTAGGGAATGGAAGTGATTAACCGAGTCGTTTGTTAAGGAGGGTGGAAAAGCTCAAGCAGCGTGCCGGGGCCGCTAGAGCCCAACCCACCAACCGCCGCACAAGCGCCCCCTTACCCCACGCAATCCCGACACATGCGTAGACAGGGCCAGATATTTTATGATACTATCATATGAATGAATAAGAGGAGCGTTAATACGCATGATCTCCCGCCCCCTCCGGGGCAAGGGCATTGGGCCGGCTTGAAAGTCGGACGTCATGAGCGACCCGGGGGCAGACTTACGGTGAATATCACAATATATCACTCGATGAAGAGAAAGAGCCCTCGTAAACTCATAAAATTCTGTTCGTAAGATAAACACTAGGTATTAGGACTGCCACTCTTTCCGCCTGCTCGCTAGAACAAGAGAGAAACTTCCACGCTATTACTCCCATCTAGAGATCCCCGACCCCGTTACCTACCAAAAAAATTACTGCTTGCTTCGTGAAACAATACATGTGTACTAGAAGAGAAAAATAAAATAAAGGGTAGATGGAACCGGAATCAACCTTCAAGCGATAAAAGATGCTAGGAAACGAATACAACCCGAGTCCCACCACTTCAACAGCACCTTGCCAAAGCATCCAAAAAATAAACAAACGAAGAACAGGTGTAAAATACAGACAGCACAGCTTAAAATCAAAACGGAATGGACAAGGAACCGAGGAGTCCACAGAATCATGTCTAATAGAGCGGCTTCTCCTCCCAGTCAGGGGGCATCTCACCCTCGACCCAGCAGACTTTACTCTTCTCGTTGACGATAGCACCTCCATCAGAGATCCCAATCACACCGCTAGTATGAGCAACCTCTTGTCTGGAGACACCACCCTCATCTCTTGGGACCCAGAGAATAGGCGGTCTGGAGGTAACCGCGGGATTGAAATACGCCTCCTTTTCGGTTTCGGGGCCGTACACAACCTCGGGATAATCTTGAGGAATAACCTTGCGCATGTGGGCGTACGAGTAATATGTTTCCGGATGCATGAATCGAGCGAGAAATCCACCAGGCTTTGCCCGCACCCCCTTGGCATCCCCGGGATAGCATACTTCTTTTGAGGCGCCAATCTTGGCAGGGCCAGCCGAACCTTCCACCTCGTATCCACCATCAGCGTCGTCCGCACCATCCTCAACCGACATGAGTCCCTCTTCGTCCTTTTCAAGGTTTTTAGGGAGGAACTTAAGAAGTGGTTCCACGGCAGAGGAGAGAGAAAGCTGAAAGAGGATGGTGAAGACAAGGAAAACGACCTGAAGAACCAAGGGTCCGATGGCTTTGCGGATAGCGAATAGACCAATCAGGCAAACTTCTGCAAGATAAACGCCGGTGAGAGTTTGGTACAACGCTCTGGGATAAACAAGTCCCTTGGTGTCAATATCGACATTGTAGACAAACAAGAAGTTGTAACGATAGGCAAAGTACAATAGCCCAAGACCCACAACCGCGAAGCCCAAAACCAGAGGTGCGATGATGGAGTAGGTGATAGCGATGACAGTAATGTTGGTGTAAACGGGGAAGACCGTTCCCCATCCGAGGCCCGAAAGGCTGGACCAGCGACGCCACTGCTTGCGAGGAGTGTTATCAAGCAGCATACCAAGGAGCTTATAGAGAATCAATCCAACAATCTGGAGCAAAGCACCAGACGAGATAGCCAGTCCTTGCAGGATCATGAATGAGATGTAGAAGTTTGATGCCTTGGGAATGTTGTTTGCCAAAATGGAAGTAGCAGACATAGGATCCTCGGCGATCTGAGCACCGACTGAAGATGCAGCAGATGACATTGTAGTAACGAGGAAGACCTGGATAACCTGAAAGGCGAAGTACATGTTCTGGACCCTGAGCTCCACGTTGGAATGCGATGGTTCACCAGCAATTCTTGACAAGAGCCTGAGCACAACGGGCAAGAGCGCCATCAAAACGGCCAACAAAACTACCGGAAGAAGACCGGTGATAAGACCCAAGATCTCGGGCGGAATGTCATTGATAAAACTCAGGAAAGAAACCTTCGTTGTAAGATAATTGATGTTGGAGATGGCACCAACAACGGCAACAGGAATGGACCAGAATATAACGAGAGCAGAAACAGCAGCGGTAGTTGTGGCGACCTTGACAAGCCTCTCCCACCATTGCAATTTAAGGTTCGACCAGATGATCTCACCAGGAGTGATCCCGATATAACGCGGGGCCATGTGGAGAGGCTGGTTGTGAGCAAGAACCTGGAGAGCAACCTGTGCGGCGGATTGCGAAGTGAATTCAATGAATGCGGAGTTAAGCTTGACTCCTTCCCCGTTCTTATGGATTGCTTGCAGCTCTTCAATTTCGGGAATCAGTTCAGCAAGCTTCCCACGACACCAATCAATTGTGTCAACCTATTTCGAGCACGTTAGCAAGCCACGGCAATAAAAGCGCGACCGAAAACACCCCGTCATACCTTCTCCCCAATAATCGGCTTCAGCTTGTGCGAAGGTCTCTTCTTCCTATGCAACCATCTGGCCGCAACACTTCCACTCTCACCTCCAGCTTCACCTTCATCCTCTGGGGGATCCTGGTCAGGGTTTCCCTTACGTCTCGCAGCATCAGCGGTCTTGATCAGCGCAACCTCAGCAGCCTCAAGCTTGGACGCAATTTCGTCCCTCTCCTGAACCAATTCCTCGAGTTCCTCGGTATCCGTGTTAATCCAGATACGCTTGACCTTCTCAAACACCTTCTTCAAAGCGGTCTCAGTCAAATAGGCTTCCGGGATGGTGGTAATGAGGAGAGTTCTCGCAGAGATACGAGTGGAATAGAGGGGAGAAAGCATGTAGGCTTGTCGGAGGGTGGTGTAGTAGATGAGCTCTCGATAAACCGTGAACAGGATAAACCCAAAGAAAATGTATCCAATGAAGACATGGGCGTACAGCCTTGCTCGTGTTAGCCCAGAACTCGCATGTACTGCAACTGACCGGTTCGAGGTACCTATAGGACATTTCCTTCGTATCCTTCAAGTTACTGAAACTCAAGAGATCCAACCCAGTCTGTCCGCCCTGTCCGGTAGCATTCAAGGGGAAGAGAATGGGGAACGTCAAACAGCATCCAACAAAACAAACCATCTGCGCTTTGCGGAGATAACGAAGGAAGAAGTAGCCATCAAGACCGTTGGTTCGGAGAACAGTTTCATCCCTAGGATTGCCGTTAGTACAGCCCCGGACGGAATACAACTCGGCCCAAATGGATCCACAGCGAGCCCGCATAGACGGACGAACTCACGGGATCTTCCAAACACCACCGATCCATCCAACTAAGCTTGAAAATCCGGAAACGCCTTCGACCTCGTCCACGATTCCGCCGTCACTGGAGATATGCAGCTTCCTCCATTTCTCAACAACGCCAACCTGAATTGCAAGTTATCAGGAAGAAATGCACGTCATAGCATCATAATAATCAAGGGGTGGGACCCCCTACATAAGTTCTTGGCGCGTAAATTCTCTTGTTAGAACGACGAAGCAGAACGAAGAGGGTAACGAGGACGGCGAAAATCAAGAGGTTGACGACGAGCGTGGAAAGAAAGGCGGAGGTGGAAGTCCCACGCGCAGATCCAATGTTTGGATCATTGTTGGGATCGGTAGCGTTATCACGCCTGAGGAGGGCGTGAATTGCCTCCATCTTCAGTTAAAGTTGAAGTCGCCTTGGTTTGTCATTAGCAGGGAACACACCGACACTCTAGTACTCGCAACAAACGGGGACGGTTGCACCAAAACAAGAAAGCAGTAGCAAACTTACCAATTAGACAACAATCACAGAGAGAGAGGACTGCCAGATATCGGAGAGGCGATTACTATAAGTTCCCACAACCTACTCCCTGTTGACCAGAATTGACGACTTTAAGGGAGAAGGGTAGGAAAAGAAAACACCGTGATTGTGGCAGCAGAGAGTGGGAGGCTGGGAGTCACGGGTTTATTTACCAAGCTTCTGCATACGGAGTATGACAGGGCCTCGCTAACTGGCTACCGACGGACGAGATGGTAGCACCAACACGCAAGGAGGAGCTCAACCAAGTGGACGCTAGCAAAACAGGCACAGCCCGGATCTCGAGCGAGCAAACTCTGAGGGGATTTGGACACGGCGATGACGAACAGATACCGTATGCGGGGGCGAAGGCAACAGAGAAGATTCCACAAAAAAAACAAGCTTGATGAGAAAGGGTAAGCTTTTACGGCCCTGAATCAAGACAAGAGAAAAGGAAAAAAGAAAGAAAATACACTAGAAGAAAAAAAAAAAAAAAGGAGCGACGCAGCAAGCAATTGTGTGGTCGACCCAATGCGTCGCTGGAGATGGTGAGAAGCCCGATGGTTGGGAAGAGGGAAAGAGTGAATGCAGACGGAGAATGGCCTGTTTGGGGTGAGGAGCGTTTTCGCAGCCAGGCAAGGAGAGGAAGGATCAGGGGAAGAGTGAGGAAGACGGTCCTCCAGAGGAAGGGGCACAAAAAGCCAGAAGCCCTAACAAAAGCGGAACGCTTGGATCGTCACCGCGATTGCCCCAACCAACACACCAGAGCGCCAGTCAGCGAGACTACTGGTACAGTACGGTATTCGAGCAGAGATTGCACTGGATCATGAGACAGGATTATGGTTCCCGTGTGTGCAATTGACCAAGTTCCGTGTGGTTTCGACTCGGCACCGCGCTGGAGCACAACAGACTCGAGCACCACACGAAAACGAGACACGATAATGCGCAGATATGGCCAGACATGCCAGCCACAACAATACGACGTAGGCAGCCGAGACGTTCCTGTTGGGAACCGCTTGCTTCCTTGCGCCCAATCGCTCGCACCAAACTTGGCTCTGAACACAGTGCTGCTCCACATCACCATCCCCAGACGGCTGGTTCATTCACCAATCCTCACCTCACGACGAGAATACCCTCCAACCCCTGAACCACCCTATCGTGCACATACCGCACAAGCACCGCGCATCCTAGATCTTTCCGTCTTCAACAAACTCGGCTCTGCGGATTCGCGAGATTGAAAGGGTGATGGATCAGAACATAACAAGCTCCCGTCTTCTCTTCTCTCCCCTTGTTTGAGCACTCTGCAGCTCGTAGCCCGGGCAGGTTGGGGCTGCCCAAAGCTCTCCGTATAGGAATTGCGAACTCCAACTCTGCAGCCAGAGTACCGGTAGAGCTGGTACTGTACGAGTACTGTTCTCGTACCGGCATCTGTACTGCGCTACCGATAGTACTTGTACCGTATGATACCCGTGCTCCCACGCCGGGGTCCGCTCCCGCTCATTTGTCGTCGTGGGAAGCATACCGGTACTTATTTTTGACTGGTATATATCATATCGGTGCCAGAGTGCCTGTACCAAGGGAAACCACAAGTACGAAGGGGGTAGGGGAAAGTCTGCGAAGTCTTGGCTGCTAATCCCATTCAAATACTGTGAGCCGCGTTCGCCAGACTTTCCCCATCATACCCCCTCGTACAGGTGTGATGTGGGCCCCAAAGTTTATCTACGGGAGGATTTTTGATTTTTTTTTTTCTATGATAGTTTAAACATTTTCTATGGACCCGAGAGCATGCCGATACTGTATTTCAGTTGTCACTCAAGAGAGTGAAAAAGGGCTTCACAAACCTCCAAACATTCAAAGCTAGAGCCCCCCCCCCCCCGAGCTCGAAGAAAAAGGATGTTTCAGGTCATCCGTTTGCCTCTGCTGCAAAGCTTTTTGAACCGGCACTTTTCTCCCTGTGGCAATTGGGGAAACCAGATCTCGATGGGGAAGCGCGGGCGTGGTACCCACCGTCAAACCCCTCTCCTTCAGCTCCACTCGCACAGTACCGATCGCCGCGAATCCCTGCCGATCATGGTCAAGTGGTTAGGAATTGGGGCATAAATCAGTGATCCAGCTATGGTATAATTGGCGACCCTGGGTGTAGCGGATTTCGCAGGAACCAGGGTACTGTACCGGTACTGTGCTCGAGTACACTACAGTAACCTGGGCTCAATGGGCGATGATGCAACAAGCTGCGGAGTCTTACTGTAAATACCGGTAGATCTGGTCTCGCATTTGTGCAACAGACCCAGCCTTGGCGATCCTCAAAAACCGCCAGCACGCACGTGCATTTGGCATCCAAAACATGGCCCACCACCAAAGAAAATCTCATCACACGGTACGGCACTCGAGCAGATATCTGAGCATCGCCTCTCGTATCTCGTATCTCATCACATTGTCGCACTGTGGAGCAACGGTATGCAACTCGGACGAGTAATCCCAGCCCGCGATCGGGGAGAAAACAAGAACACCCCTCTCTTCTCTCCTTCTCTCCTCCTATTGGCACCGTATCTCCCTCTCTCTTTCTCGCAAGCGTGATAACGTCCACTCGAGTACCGCATCGCTAACGGCATCGGCCTTGACAACGGTACCGGTATTTCGCGTGCCCCAATTTCTCCCTCTGTCCAGACCGAGACGCTGCAAGACTCCTCTCCTCCCAAGCAGAACCAAACAGGTAAGTAAATTCGTGCACGTGCCCGGCCTGAAACCTGCAGACCAACATTTTCCCCAAACCAGTGGCAAAACAATGCCAAGTTTGAATTCCTGTTCTCGCAGGAAAAATGATCTTGCGGTGACAACCCCCTTCCCCATCCGCGCAATCTAACCCAAGACTCCAGCTCCGATCGCTCCCGTGGAAATTATCCCCCCGCAGCCCTCTACAGCGCACCCCCGGCACAGCGAGATCCACACCTTTTACGCGGCTTCACTGCGCTCTCGATAGGACCCCGACGACAATTTCTCTCGTCATGAAAGCGTAGCGCCGTTACCCACTTTGCCTAGTTCGTTTGCACTGTGGTGGCCGGGGTTCACACTCACCCATGCTTTCAATCACCCCGGCTCACCGCTCACGCGAGCACCGAATTCCTACAATACCGGTACCGGTACTCTATCAATGGCTAATTTACCATATCATATCAAAGCTACTCCGTATGCCAAGAACGCGACCCTGAGCACAGCAGCCATGTTCACCGATCCTCCACCATTACCATTTCCGCCACCAGGATTTCCCTGCCCTACTGTACTCGTACCGTGCTGCCTACTTGTACCCTACCCACACCGCCCTACTCGAGCACAACACACGACCTTAAATTGGCATCCGGTCTTGCTGATCACTGGTACTCCATTGGCCAGCATTGTGATGCACTCGAATATTCGAGTAGGAGTCTTCGTATGCGATCATCCTCACTCGACTTCACCCCCAGGACCGGTAGTGACATCAGAGCCCGCCATGATGCTACGGGAATGGTAAGGCTGTCTTAAAAGGTCTCCTCCTGACGTCTCGTCTCGTCGCGAGAGGGCTCACGATATGTCACTCAAAGAGAGTATGGGGCTTTGGGTATATGGTAGTTCAACCTTGACGTGAAGACACAGCGTATCGTAAATCACCATAGAATTTTCTTCCTTCTCTTTTTATGCGGGTCTCTAGATGCTGGAGCAGTGCTGTGCTCCAATCGCCCCGCCCTCGAATAATACTGGTGCACTTTTGCCACTGCCCGTCCGTATCCAAGTACTCGTACACTCACACCCCGCTATCCCGGATGGCTGAATTTTGCCCATTTCATCCTGGACAACGGGGTGTCTGGAACAATTGGGAGAGAGAGTCTGTCATTTAGGGAAAAATAGCAGAGATGGATTGCAGTGCGCCCATTCTTATGGGAGTATTCTCACACTTGGTATCATACCGGCAGTCAACTTGGTAGCTACCATGTAACATTTTTTGCCGACCCTCCATTACCCAACTGTGAGCCAATTCCCTTTTCCCTTCTCCACATTCTTTTTGCTTTCCCGCTGTCTTTGCACTTGGCCCATCCTTTTCTCCACCTTCGGTCTGGCCTTTCTGGCAGTGACCGTAGCATCTGGTCCGGCGGGTTAATTTTCTATAGGAGCAGGGGGTAGGACTTCCCAAAATCTCATGCCGGTACGAATCCGAGAACCCCCTTTCTCGGCTCAACAGGGTTATTTCTATCAGGAGTTGGAGGCGTGAAAGATTCTGCGCGGTTCAGCAGGGTATGCAGTTCGGCGGGATCCGGGATAGCGGGGTGCGACTGTAGACTATGCCCTGCAGCACCGGTGCTCGTACAGTACTTGTACCCACAACAGCAACACGCGCTTCGGCGCTAAAAACGCAAGCCCTCAATGTCAGCCCCAGCGGTCAGTCCTGTTGCAAGTATGAACCGGTAGCAGATGTCTTTCTCCGAAAGATGGCTTGAAATGGCTTTCTGGGCGACGAATATCGTGACGCCTCCCCGGCGCTGAAGCCGGGTTCGGTTTGGGGGCTGAATCGCTGGCACCCACTGGTAGAGTGTATTAATCCGCACGCATTAGAAGGGGATGAGAGAAGTCTTAAGATCCCAGTGTCTTTGAATTAGGAAGTGGGTCCTAACATCAGTACCGGTAACACCTAGTCTAACATGATTGGGATTTTCGCAGAGAGTTCAGAACTGTTATTTAAGCCATCGCTAGGGCAGGGACAAATAGATCAGAGCCAGCGCTGTCGTGTGTGAAGTTGAAGTGACTTGGGATTTTGTACGATATTCTCAACACAAATAGTGACTTGACATCCTATTGCCCCACCTACGGTACCGTATCTTATCGTCCGTTTCTTGGCTGCTTTGCACCTTTTGGGGGTCTGATAAGCAATATCTACAGAACGTGAACCGCTATCGACCTAGAAACCGGACCCCTCTAGAATGTTGCGATTGTTGGAGCGGGAGTTTGTGAAGGTTGGTGCTTTTGGCGCGGATATTTGATTGCTCTAAGGTATGATACTGCACTGAGATGTTTTGATCGTGATAGAGACTGCGCGGTGCAAAGGCTCTAAAGCCAAAAGAAAGAAGAAGTAAAATGGTCTATACCGCAAGAACGGCTAGGTTATACTCTCGTGAGGACTTCCACCTGGCATGAATGGCTTACGCTAGTTTTGGTCCATAGCTAGGACCCACGCTCATGAATTTCCGTTCTCTACAGTACTACACTTTTGTACGGGTACTGTTCCCGGGTGTTCTCATTGCCCCCCTCCCGAGTACCCAGATACGAGTACAGTATGAGTACAATTGCACTTGTGCGAGTGCATTAAATCTTGGTGGCAAAGTGCACAAACATGTTATATCCGGGGCGCGAGTACGGGGCCTTTCACCCCGCCCCGGAAAAGTAGGCATTCTCGGAGACATGCCCTAGTCAGACAAAGCTACTCTGTTACGAGCGCTTCCCCAAGGCATGGGATACTTGTAGCAAGTAGTGTTTGGCTCAACCCAACTTGAGCTGCACAATGCTCATCCATGGTCAATAATTTTGCCTTCCCTCCAGCGGGCGGACTTGGAAGAGGGTGCGAGGAGGCATACCAAAGACTGGGTATCTGATATCTCCGGGGCATACACAACCCCTCAATCATCTTGAGAAACATCTTACGGGAAAAGAATGAAGAATCCCTTCTATAATACAATGACGGAGGCCCTAGAGAAAGGGTGGGGATTCTTCACATCAATTCCTATGGCGTCATAGAGAACGGGGTGCTGTGAAGTTATAGGTATGGTACTGACCAATGCTAATACAGATGTTCCGGTGTGGGGGAGATGGATTGGGCTTCAATCATCCGCCATCGGGTATACGTGCCTCGAAATTTGGAAAATTCATGTATCCTCCTTCAGATATATGCTAATTTTGGTATTATTTCCAGGGATTGATTCCAGAGAGATCAGTAACTTTCTTATCCCTGGAGAAACCTCTCTTCTGGTGTTTGTGTTGTCTAGTGTCCACTCTTCTGCAATCTCCTGCTGACTCTATAGTTACCCCATAAAGGCCCACATTCGGTGTTTGCCCTCGACATCGGAATTCCTAGAGGGCATCCGCCCACCCCCATGATCCCGGAACATTCCTACCCTCCCCATCACCTTCTCTCCCGCCAACAAATTGACCCTACCCGAGTCCCGCGCTTACTCCATGTGACTCACCGCAGCTGTGAAATGGATAGTTACTGTATCATACTCGAATACACCGGCATAAATTCTCGCTTGGTAAAATTGGTTATGTTGGTATCCAGTATAATGTGTTTGTCTTTCCGTATTGCATAGTACACTGCTAGTGCGTTGCCATCCCGATGGCCCTGTGAACTCGTTCTTGCGTTCTTAAAAGCAGAAATCGCTCAATTTCCCAGAGACCCCGAGCGGGTCCAGGTCCCCACAGCCGGCCGGATGAGTAGGTTTGCGTGATCCAGGAGGGTAAATGTGCCTATGAAACACTGTTATAATATGTAGTGGGATAGAAGCTAGACGTAAAAGTTTGTGGGGAGCCCACCGCGGCTCTCCTCCGTGCGCGGTGCGGTTGGTCGGCCGTCCATGTAACGCCTTGAAATCCGTAGATATCACTGGAAAACGGCCACCCTCACAGCCCGGCTTCCTTCCGTTCGCGTGGGGATATCTAAGACGTTCGGGAATTGCAATTGCTCTTACATATCAGGGGAGGAGAAGCGATTCTTTTTGGTGATTTCTTGTCCCCGGTTTGCCCACTTCTTTTTCTACACCACCTATAGCAGACTTGGGCACTTCGAGAGGAGTGCGGTCCAGAGTCAGATTCCCCCCGTGATCT